TGGTCCCCAGGCCCACTAGTCCCCAGGCCTCTGGCCCCCAGGCCCGCTGGTCCCCAGGCCCGCTGGTCCCCAGGCTCGCTGGTCCCCAGGCTCACTGGCCCCCAGGCCCGCTGGCCCCCAGGCCCGCTGGTCCCCAGGCCCGCTGGCCCCCAGGCCCTGAAGGCTGATGCATACAGCTTCAAGTGTCTTTGAGTTCTCCTCAGTGGCTCCTCCACTGGCCCCGATATTGAAGCCCTCCCTTTGCAGGGCTGCCCCTCATCGGCCGCCCTCCGGGCTCTAGTGGCAGGACTAGAGCTCTGGGCCTTCCTAGCTCCGGGCTCACAGAGATGGACCCGGCCCTGTGACCACTTTCTTGCTCACCCTCATGTCCCACATGGGGTCCCCAGGAGACTCACAGGGTCACTTCCAGAGCACTCTGACAATCAGACCTCTATAGATGACCCTGTCGCCCCTTGCAGGCACTGTGGCTTCTCATAAACCAGTGTAAGCCACAGTGGCTGCCCCTGCACCAGCCCTTGCCTCCCATTTCCCACACTGCAGACAGGTCTGCTTAGAGCACAGGGCAGAGCCCACCCCCAGCGCTCAGGCCCTCTGGTCCCTCTCTAGAGCTCTAGGCATAAGGCCTCTGCTCTGCTCCACCTGCATTTCTGCCTCCCCTTCCTTCTTGCGCACTAGGCCCTGGCCACTCTGAGCCTCCTCCTCCTCTCCAGGGTAAGCTGAGCAGGGGTAGCATTTGCTTGCTCTCCCCCCCAGAGCCTCTCTGGCCTTTTCTTTCTGAGCCTTTAGGCCTCAGCATGAGGTCACCTCACCAAAGTGGTCTCTTCTCCCTGGTGCTGGTGACCTTAAAGCACATTAACGGCTGGAGTAGGGGTTTGCAGCCCTTGGGCTCCACCCACCTGTCACTCATCACAGCGTTTCTGGGCAGTCAGATCCTGCTCATGTGTACTTGCAGTCTCTGGGGTCTAGAAAACATCCCTGCACACACTGTCAATAATAGCCAGACTAACTTCTCTTTTGGGTCGCTCTAGTTTCCATGGTCCCTGATGAGCAGAACCCTCAGGCTAGAGTTTCCGGCCTCAGAACACCCTCCCCAGGGATCTGTGAATCTTGCCTGCAAGCCCCGCTCTAGTGAGAACCTGCTGCGTGAATTCTGGTGTTGGCCTTGCGAGGTCTGCATCTCAGCCTCAGTGGTAGCGGGAACTCAGGGCACGACGCGCGCCACGTGAATGTCACAGCTCCTGTGTTCTTCTTGTCTGCCCACCATCCAGGGAGTCAGCTGGCTTCCTTGTGGTGAACAGCGACTTTCTGGTCCTATCGTCCCAGGCGGTATAGCTGGCTGGCTTTGTTCAGGGAACTCGGTTCTCCTTGCGTAAGCAGCCCGGATCAGTTCCTTTTCTGTTACTATAATAAAGCGCCTGTGCTTGGGTAGTGTTGAAGGCAAGAGGCTCATTGATTTCATGCTTTTGGAGGCTCAAAGTCTAAGATTGGCCCCGTGGTTGAGCAGCTGATGGGAAACTCCTGGAGACCGGCCCCACAGTGGGGCGGTCACGTGATGTGATGGGGCCCTGGGCAGGCCGTCAGGTCAGTCTGTGCCCACCCTGCCCTCTCCTGGTGACTGGCTTGCTGTGGGAGACAGGCACCCATCCTTCCCAGGGTGCACCCCGAGAGCCAAACCGCTTCTCACCAGATCCTGCATCCCAAAGGCTCCAGCGCTTTTCAGGCCCTTTCTACGCTGGGTTCTGAGCTTCTAGCACCGGAATGTTTGGGTGCAAAGCACATCCAGAGCTCAGAAGGCCTGAGCATGGTGCCACCCCAGGGAAGGCGCAGCCCTAGTTTCGTAGCCTCTGCCTGCTTCAGTTGTGCGAGCTGCTCTTTGAGCACTCAGTTGGAATCCTCTCCTTGTCCAGACCTGGGAGCCTCTCTTTCTTGCCATGGAGCTTAGTGTTGTATTTTCTTAAGTATTATATTTTATCACGGGGTGTGTGTGTGTGTGTGTGTGTGTGTACGTGCGCGCGCAGGTGCACGTGCAGGGGGTCTCTGTCCGTCCAGGAGGTCCTCCCCAGTTTCTGTATCATTGTCTCCACAGCCTCAATCCCAATAACTCACACCTCAGGGGGCCCCGCCTCGGGCAGCTGCCTGTGCAGCTCCTGCTGACACTTGTGCTCCATGCCTGCTCTTTAGACCTGCTGAGGCCCAAGGGTGCCGTTGGGCACGCCATATGTACTTGCTTGTTAAAGGAGAGTGAGCAGCGTTTAATATGTTGCCACTGACAGCTGGCCCGTGTCCCCAGCAGCCTCTGCAGCCTGCCGACCCCTGCCCCGCTGCAGAAGGCAGGGGGGCGGGCGCCCATCAGTCCGCGCAGCCAGCAGTGCTGTCTTCAGAGGTGGAAGACCTCACCACACACAGAGCTTTCGCTGGCACCGGGGACTGAACCCAGAGCCTTGTGTGCAGTGGGAAGGCACTCACCCCTCAGCCCTGCCGGGCCCACCACCAGGTTTTGAAATTTGCCCTTATGACACAGTCTTCTACACACAGTAAGAGATGATAGAGTACTCGTAGCATGAGTTAACATTTAATTTTTATGAGAACTTATTATAGGTCTGACCTGTGCTAAGCTAAATAACAACATACTTATAAAATATAAAAATTGTGCTCATCACAACCATTAACACACGTGGCATTAGGTGACAGGCGAAAGCGCCTTTCGTATGTTAGTTCATTGATTTCTCCCAATCAGCGTTTGGCCACAGTGATTCACAGCTTCTGAATCTGAGGCCTGAGAAGGTCACAGAACTTGTCAAAGGCCACAGAGTGAAGCAGTGCCACCGATTAGGGCTCTACACTGCACGCCCAGCCTTCAGAACTGCCTGGTACCCTGGGAACAGTGAGGGTCCACATTTACAGAGGGGAGAAGAGGGGACTCAAAGAGGTGCAGAGGAGACTGCTCGAGATGGCACTGCTAGACCAAGCACAGCGAGGTGATCTGGAGTACAGCACCCCGGACGCCACCTACACATAGGTCGGGCACCCTGTCCCTAGCAAAGGCCCCCTCCTGGGCTCTTCAAAAGGGACCACACCTTACTTTTAAATCTGTGCATTTCAAAGACATTTTATGAGGTTGTAATGTGCTTAAATAAATGAACATCTTGCCTCAACTGTCATCAAGCCTCAATATAGTTTGAAAATTTAAGAAAGAAACAAAGGTTAAACAAAAGCCCCCTGCACCTTCCTTTCCTGCCAGCCCTGCAGACCCGGAGCTGCCCTGGGAGGTCCCTTCTTTGCTCCTTAGCTGACCACTGTCCTCCTAGCTGGAACAGGAGAGGAGGGCTGGGGTGAGCGAGTCCTCATCCCAGCCCTCAGGGGACAGCACAGGTGCCCTGTCAAGAGGTGGCCAGGAAGCCGGCCAGTGCCACGGGATAATGGGCTGGGTAGGGATGAAGTACCGACAGGAAGGCCCAACACGCCTTAAGAGTGGCTGACTTCAGGCCCAGGCCCTGGCCAACCACGGCCCTCTGCACAAGACCGATGAGCCAAGAGGATGACCCACCTGCTGTGTGTGGCCAGGCACAGAGCTCAATGAACAAGTGCCCCTCAGTGCCAGTGCAAGCAGGACGCGACAGGCCCCACGAGGGAGGGACGGATGGGCCTCCTTAGAAGAGGGAGGAGGAGAGCAGCGCGGTTGTGCCACACCCACTGCCCTCAGGTCAGCCTCTGCAGGCCCAGCTGGAAGCTGCAGTTGCTTGGGCCCTGCTGGCCCTATCTGCTCTCAGACCCAGCCCTGACCCGGAAGAGCACATGTGCTGCAGCTGTAGCTGGAATCTGCCTCCTGGCAGGTGGCCCTTGCTCCTTGGTTATTGCTGGCTCTCTTCGGGTCTGGGGTCCTCACGACACCCCAAGCAAGAAGCACTGCGGAGACCAAGTGCCCAGTCCTCCCTCTGCCCTCTCTCTGCGGGTGGATCTACCATGGGGCGTGCTGCACTGTGCAGGTGAGGCAGGTGCCTTTGCTCCCAGATCCCCTAAAAGGAAGCTGGGTTCCCAGGATTCTCTGTTGCAGGTAACATTTACAGCAAGGACACAGTGCACTGTGTGCCTGGCACACGGCCTCCCTCAGAGACTAAGAGCAGCAGGATACAACACTCATGCCCAGCGCTATGGTATACGGTCTGTAGAGCGCATGCCCAGTGCCATGGGTCGTATGGTCCGTAGAGCGCATGCCCAGTGCCATGGTATAAGGTCCGTGGGTGGGGGAGGAGGACATCACCCTGAAGGGGCTGGGCGGGAAGAAAAGAAAGGAGCACGGAGCTGCTTATAAAATGGGGGAGACACTCATCCCCTCCTCCCAACATCTATCCACAGGGCAGGATTTTCAGTCTAGGCTGAACGGTATTCCCCTTGTGGAATTTTAAGAACCCAGCTGCCTGGATCTTACCCTGGACCCCCAAAGTTAGCAAGTGAAAAACTTCTTAGGGCTCTGACATTCGCCCTGGTTTCATCTTCAGCAGGAGCTGCGAACCTCGCGGGTTGCGCCGCGCCCGCTGCACCTGCTCAGCGCCCCCACCGTGGTGCAAAGGCCGACACAGCCCACGCCCGTGAGAACGCAGGCGCACAATCCGAAGGCAGGCCGGATCCGGTCCCCGGGCCGACGCGCGTGCGCCCCTCATGCAGAGAAGACGCGAGCTTGGCCGAATCACGCCTCTGGCATTTCCCCATCCTTCAGCCTTGCCTAACCGCCAACCCTCTCTGCCTTGCAGAGCGCACATAGAGCTTCCGGTTAGTGTCCCCTGGGGGCGGGCCGAGCAAGTGGGCATGAAGCCAGACGGACCCGACACTCCTGCAGCCGCGGGGCCCACGGGACTCCTTCCACGCTTTTCCTACTTTGGTGTTATAGTGCAGCCGCACAGACGGTTAACACTGGCCTGCTACAAAGTAGAAAAGAGAACTCCCCACCGGCGACAGCACAGGTGGAAGCAGGAGGGGGACAGCACGCGCTGGATACTCACGACCAGTAGAGCAGCATGAGGAGGAAGGGGCAGATGATGAGGGCCTGCAGCACCTGCCAGTCCCGGCACAGGGCGGCCAGCCCGGGCATGAGGAACTGGCCCACCATGGCCACGAAGCTTGCCACCATTGTGATCATGAACCGTTTCCCGGGCGGGCACAGCTCTATTCCTGGAAGACAGAAGCAAGGAGGAGACATGAGTGCCCTGCCCAGTGGCTCACGGGGTACATTGATGCTTCACACCTGGGTGAACCAAGGGCTGATGGGAAGGGAGCAAGACCATTGCTCAAGGTCACAGAACAAACTCAGAGGTGCTTAATTTGGAAACACTGCAGTCATGGGGACAAGCTTTGTGTGACCCACTGTCCCCCTTCCTCTGCTCTTTGGATGCCACTGAGCTCACTGTCCAGCGAGTTCCCAGCAGGTTTCACTGTTGCCATCGCTTCCTGGTTAGGACCCAGCACTGGGGACCCTCTCACCTCCCAGGGGAGCCAGGGACCTCTGACTCTCCCTCCGCACTGCACTGTCGTCCAGCTCGTGGGCTGGACCCCAGGCTCCTTGTGAGTTCCTGGCAGCCTGCTCCACCATGAGACCAAGTTAGTCTTAATAAGCTGCATCAGAGTGTATCTGAGTAAACATGAGGAAAGCAAACATTAAGAAAGAAGGAAGAAAGGAAGGAAGGAAGAAAAAGACAACATAAGCAGGAAAGAAAGAAAGAAAGAAAGAAAGAAAGAAAGAAAGAAAGAAAGAAAGAAAGAAAGGAAAAAGAGAACATAAGCAGGCTCGGGCCACGCAGTGATGACCCCACTAGGAAGCTCCTTCGCCACACAAGTCTGCTGCCCGCTGTACTGGCTTCTCTCCCAGGCAGGGGCTGAGTCTGATTCATCTCAGCTGCTCCAAAAGGGAAAGCAGGGTGTCTCTTCAACAACCAACCCCGGAACAGAGGGAAGGAGGCCTTGTTCCTTGTCTGTGCAAGAATGCATTTTCCTAATTTAAACTTGAATAAAAGGATGGCCCATAAATTTTAATTTGCAGCATCCAAATGACAACAAACACAGACCTACTACCCAAACGCCTGTAGTAACAGTCCTCAACTGCACAAAAGCCAGCTGGGTTTTCTGTATATTGTTTCTCTATAGAGTATGAAAATTTGCTACTCTTGTACAATATGCAGTATTCCTGAAAGTTCTTCTTGCTTTTATTTTTTAAAGCTCCTCAGGCAAACTCTCTTCTTGCCCTTGTGTCCAGCAGATGCTGCAGGGTGGGCTTGGTAGCTGGTCACAGCACCCTCTGCTAATTGTCCAGATACCATGGCAGAGGTAGGAGGTCAGAGGCAACAGGAAGTGGGCAGGCGAGAGTGGGGCAGATGCAGACAAGTGCAGGATGCCGGCGGCGTGACCGGGCGCTGCACCAGCCGATACCGCGCCCGCTTATCTACAGGAAAAGATAGCAATGCCATCGAAACTCCACGCAGCCACAGTCACCATCAGGGCTGTTGGGGAGCAGGAAGTAAACCTGGCTCCATTGGGTGCAGCTTATAAAGCGCTCTCTGTTTGCTGTTTCATTAAGAAAATGGGGTTAGACAGCCCACTCCTGGCTATTTGCTAGGAGGTAGCTCTTTTCAATACCACCAGCCAGCTCACTTGAGAGCCTACTCCCTAGCAGTGTCCAGGCAGTTTCTGGATCCTTTTCTCAGAAAAGACGAACAGCTGTAGGTTCTAGTTTTCACTGATTAAGCATAAGCAGTAGATCTGCTGCCATGGAAACGGGAAATCTGCTTTAGTCACAGTAGGTTCAGGGCTTGGAGGCTTGGGGCAGGCAAGTGTCAGAGAAGAAAATATAGCACCAGACCACCTATGTCACTTTTAGACAAAGTCAGAAACATCATGTCAAGAAGCATGACAGCTTCATGTCACCTGAGTTTGCTAGTACAACAGATATCACATGTTACTTATAGGGTTTCATTACTTCCTTTAATTTTTGATATAATATCTGTAAGAATATTTAAAATTATAGCAGTCTTCCCTTATTTGTGGTTTTGTTTCCCATCATTTTAGTTACCTGAAGTCAGTCATGATATAAATAAAGTGAATAGAAACTTCCGGAGTAAACGGTCCATAAGTTTTGTGTTGCTTATGGCAGTCGGGCAGTGTGGTGGGACCTTGTGCCCTGCTCTCTGAGGCATGAATTTGCCCAGTGTATCCATGCTGTATATGCTACCCACCCTTGAGTTACTTAGTAGCCATCTTTGTTATCTGGGTGACTTTTGTGGTTTCCTGGTGCTTGTGTTCAAGTAACTTCTGTTTTACTTGGTGATGTTATATAACTCAGAGTTGTGGTGCTGGTGATTTAGGAGTGATACAGAATGTCTCTTAAATTAAAAGGGGAGAATTCTCAATAATGAAAGAAAAAAATACAAGATGTTGAGGCTACTGAGTAGAGGGCAAGAATAAAACACATGCAAGGTTGCTGGATCCACTGAGAACCCTGGAATGGATTACCCATGGACATGGGGTGGGACTAGTACAGTCCTTTTCATCACAAGCCACCCTTAGGATGTCCAGCCCCACATACTAATCTATGCTTATGTAATAGCGTGCAAGGAATCATGAAGCACCTTCTCGGGCCAGGCTTGAGGGTTGTAGATGATCAGGAAGAGTAGTCCCTTGATGGGTGAGTGACTATGCAGAATGACTTATGTCTCTTCTGGATGCACACACATGGCTGTGGCTGGGACCACTGTCAGTGTGACTGCTGTTACGGTTTCCCTGTGATGTGTATCCCAAGCCTCATGTGTTGGGTGCGGGTTCCCAATGCTGCCCTGCTCAGAGCTAATGCTTTTTGGAAAGATGAAAGGGTAGTGAGGGCTCTAACTCCATCCATAGATTAAATCTTGACGAGAGCATAATTGGGTATCAGGAAAACTTAGGAGCTGGGTCCTTGTGCAGGGGTGGGCCATGGAGGTGTATCCCTGGGGACAACATCTTGTCCTTCCTGGTCCTTCCTCTCTGGCTTTTTTAACCATCTTTCTGTTTCCCAACAACCGTGAGGGGAGCAGTTTTGCTGTACTACATTCTTCCGGCAAGACGTTCTTCCTCATTTTGGACCTACAGCCACAGATCCATCCTACCATGGACTGAATCTCTGAACCGAGAGCCAGCATAAGTCTTTTCTTCCTTCTAGTTAATTTCCTCAGGTATTTTGTCACAGTGGCGGAAAGTGGGCTAACACCACATCAATAAGACAATTACCTAGGTGCCGTAGGCTTTCTCTCCAAGTCCTCTCTACCTCTCCCGCAAGGGGTCTGAGTGGCCTCCTAACTTCTCACCACCTGAAGTGGGGAGCATGGCCTGAGTGTCGGAATCACATGGGAATTTGTTGGAAAGGCAGAGGCCAGGCCCGCTCTGTCCTGCAGCACCAGCACCTGCTCCCAGAGCAGCTCACTGTTTCCCTCTCGCAGGAAGTGAGGTTGTCTCCCGGACCCAGCTGAGGGCTGATGAAGAGACGCGCCCTGCTCTCTCCCTGCCAGCACTGCTGGGAGTCCCAGGAGATGTGGTGACATCAGGTAGAGGAAAGCCCAGCAGGCCAGCAAGGATTTATTTTAGCCTTTCTGCTCTGGGACAATGGAGAAACACAGTGACTGAGGTAGGGACGCAGGTGTGCCGATTTTCAGATTTTTTTTTTTTTTCCTTGAGTCACCAGATTTTTTTTTTTCCAAATCAGCTGAATCCAACTATGTTCTGCAGGTGGCTACAATTTTTTTTTTTTAAATAAAGCAATTGTCACGGAACTGCAGGCACTTGAGGCTTGCCATTAATCACATGCTCCCTTTGGAGGGGGAGAAACCAGATTTTCTGAAGTGGGAGAGAAAGAAGCCACCATTGTGTGAAAGGCTTCATCCCTGGCATCCATCAGGAGGGGATCCAATGCTGGCAGATGTTGGTGGCGCCCCCAGCCCCATGCCCTTGCCCCTGCTCCTGGTTCACCCACCCTGAAGGAGGCTCTAGTGACCTGGCTGGGCCCCTGGCTCTGGTTTTGAAACAGGGGGACCCCTTTTGGGGGTCTGGTTATTTTATAGAGCAGGCTTCTGCAGGCATGCAGGCATCTACTGTCATCTTAGGGTACCTGAAAGTCAAATTTAGGTGAACATGTGGTATTGGTACTATTGTGGTCAAGAGCCTGGATTCTGGAGCCAGAGGTCTTGGGTTCAAATCTTGGGACCTTGATTGCATCACCTAGAAGCTCTGTGCTTCAGTTTGCTTAACAGCAAAACGGGGCGTGTGAGCACTGAACAGCGCAGGGCCGGGCCACCGAGGTCCATGTGACAGCTCTCAGAAGGCCTTAGAAACTCAGTGGGCTTCCTGGAGGGGCCAGCTTGAGGAAAAATAATCTCCAATCCAGCGCACATGCCTCATTCTGCATGCATTTTATTTCACGGAGATTCCCTTACACCAGGAGGCCATCCACTACTGAAAAACTGAACCAAGGGGCTGGGATACGGCTTTGTGCTAGAGCCCCTGTCTGGAACATGTGAGGCCCCAGGTTTGAATCCTAGCACTGCCAAGCAAACAAACAAACACAAACAACAAACAAACAGAAAATCCAGACCAAAAAACCAGAACTCGGTGAATTCAAGAAAACCACATCAAAAATCCCCACTGTTAACCTGACTCCCCCGTGTCCCCTGAGCTTTGGCAGCGAGGGTTGATACGATGCTTTGGAGCTAGGCAGGCTTTGAGACCAAGCAGAGGAACTGCCGAAGGTTCTGAGGATGAAGTGGCGCATAATGAAGACGGAAGCTAGACTCCGGGAAGATCTGCTTTGTGGAATTTTCAGATTCTTATAAATTTCCTGGAGGAAAAGGAAGCTGTACTGCTCTGTGCAGTCCCTTGAGGCGACAGAGGAGGAAGCTGGAGGGAGGGGAATGTCCAGGCCTGCTTGTCACCAGCGGGGGCCATGGCTGCCCTTTGGTTGGAGGCCTTGAGGCTCAGGCTGCAGTGTCCATGTGAGCAAGCTTCTGCCCCACCCCCCGGGATTGAATCGAACACTAACCAAGGAGGCTGGGTGCAGTTCCGCGGGAGCAGCCTTGCCTAGCGCACACAACCCCACCAATGCAAAAGCATCGGCCTTTGAAATCCTCCCCATCCTGGCCCTCAAATCCCTGCTACAG